GACTTGAGCCTTTTACAGCTCAGCATATTAATACGGCTTTACTTTTTATACCTCATTTTTATACTCTTCTGCTGGATGGTTAAGACCAAGATAAGGCAAGACCTATATAACAAGAAATGTAACTTTTGTGTCTGACAAGGTCAGTCAAATCTCCTCAGGATTTACCCTGAAATGCTGTACCACAGTTTGTAGATCCTTTGTCAGTGCCAGCCAAGTGGATGAGTCACAGCCATTGTTTGACCAACTTGCTCTCTGTGAAAGCCTGAAACAATGTTTTCTCTCCCTGTAACTCTTCTCAGGCACACTCTATATCGTCAATCACTTTCCTCTGTGGCCCATAAGGGCATTTTTAACAGGAAAGTTTATAACTACAAGTGCTTACATGAAAAAACAGAGATAACAAATAAGTAATCTAATGATGCATCTCAAGGTCTTAGGAAAAAGAAAAAAAAAACAAATGGAAAGGAGTAATTAAGATTGGAGCTGAAATTACTGATATAGAAAATAAAAGAACAATATACAGGATCAATGGAACAAGAGTTGGTTGAAAAAATAAACAAGATTGATAAACCAAACTAAGCAAAAGAAAGGTAAAACCCAAATCAGTAGTTAGAGAAGAGAAAGAGGTTATTATACAAGACATCACTGATAATCAGAGGAATATTAGTGACTACATAGAAAACTAATAAGTTAGATAATCTAGAATAAATAAAGAAATTGCTAGACATGCACAACCTATAAAAGCTTAAGCAAGAAACTACTGCATGAGATAGAAAAAGGACACTTCCAAACACATTTTATATGGTTAGCATCACCCTCATACTGAAACCAAACAAGATAAACAGAATTAAGGAAAGCAAAAGGGAGGGAGGAAGAGAGGGAAGGAGGAGGGAGAAAAGGAAAGGAAACTATGACCATACATGCAGAAATACTAAATAAAATACTTGCCAAGTGAATTCAACGCATTTTTTAAAAAAATCATACTCTATGATCAAGTGGACTTCATTGCAGGCATACAAGAGTAACTTAACATATGCAAACAAATGAAAGCAATAGGCAACATAAATAAAATTCAGGTTCAAATCATGTGATTATCTCAATTAGTACAAATAGATATCTCTGACAAAATTCAATATCCCTTCATTATAAATGCCCTGAAAGTAGACAATAAAGAATCATTCCTCAATGTAGTACAGGCCACATATGACAAACCCATAGCCAGCATCATTCTGGATGGAAAAGAACTGAAAGCTCTTCCTGTAAAATCAGAAACAAGGCAAAGTTGTTCAGTCTTACCACTCCTGTTAAATATAGTTCTTGAAATGTTAGAGCAATTATATAAGAACAAGAAAGAAAAAGGATACCAAAAAAGTCAAATCACCCTTATTTATAGATGGCATGATTGTATAATAAAAGAATTTCCGTGCTAATAATTTGGTAAAGATATAAAATCAACATTAAAAAGCAATAGCTTTTCTAGTCCTTACAAATTTACCAGATGAGAAAAAAATTAGAAAAACAATTACAATCCCAATAGCTTTTAAAATAAAATACTTATGATCAATTGAACTAAGAAGGCGAAATAAGGCTACAATGAAAATTCTAGAACACTGAAGAAGCTAAAAATGCTAGAAGGTGGCACAACTTCCCACATCTGTGAAGTAGCAGAATTCATATTGTTAAAGTGGTCATACTGGGCCGGCCAGATAGCTCAGCAGACTAAACACCTGCCTGGGCAGGCTCAGGAACTGGGGTTCAGTCCTGGGCTGGGGTGCTGGCCTCACCCCCAGGACATGCAGAGACAGTGACTGAGACTGGACTTGGTGGCACACTCCTGTAATCCCAGAGCTTAGGAGGCTGAAAACAGGAGGGTCACTACAAGTCTGATCTGTGTAGTGAGACCTGGTAGACCCCATACTAAATACATAAAAAAGCAAAGAAAAAAAAATAAGATGGTCATGCTATCAAAAGCTTCCTACATGTATAAGCCCCCTCAAAATGCCAGTGACATTCTTCAGAAAGCTAGAAAAACAATTCTAAAATTAATATGGAAACACAAAATCCCAGAATACCAAAGGAATCTTTAACAAGAGCAGGCCTAGAAGCAGCCCAATATCTAACATACAATTATACTATAAAATCATAGGAAGAGGGACCAGGGAGATGGCTCAGTAGAATAAGCACTTGCCTGGCAAGTGCAAGGGCCTGAGTTCAGTCCCCGGTTCCGCCAAAAAAAAAAAAAAAAAAAAGAAAGAAGGAAAGAAAGAAAGAAAAAAAATCATAGGAAGAAAACCAGGATGATACTGGTTCAAAAATACACACATGCACCAATGAAATACAATGGGTCACACAGAAAAGAAAGCCCTACAACTACAGCCATTTGAGTCTAGACAAGGGAGCAATAACATTGGAGAAAAGACAACCTCATTAACAAATGGTGTTGGGAAGACTGGCCATGTACACAAACAATACTGAAACTAGATCTCTATCTTTACATAAAAATCAACCAAAAATAGATCAAAGACCTCGGTATTAGACATGAAACTTCTAAAAGTTTCTGAATAGGACCCCTATGGGCAACAATAGCAAGAATCAACAAATGACAATACATCAAATTAAAAGGTTTCTTCACAGAAAGGGAACAGAAGCAGTCTGCACTGTGTGAAGAAAATCTTTACCAGCTATTCTTCTAATAGGGAATTAAAATCTAGGCTATGCAAATTGGTCAAGCAATGGTCGTGACTCATCCACATGGTTGACACTGACAAAAGATCTACAAACTGCTATACAGGGTTTCAGGGTAAGTCCTGAGGGGATTTGACTGACCTTGTCAGATACAAAAGTTACATTTCTTGTCATATAGGTCTTGCTTTATCTTGGTCTTAACCATCAAAAAGTATAAAATCAAGGTATAAAAAGTGAAGCCATATTAATATGCTGAGCTGTAAAAGGCTCAAGTCAACAACTTCTGAGCCAGTCTTGCTGATAACCCACTACTATTATAAACTACTGAACTATATTGGATTACTTTGCTGAATTCACACACGTTCAATATATGAATGGCAATGGAATACACATCTCTGACAAAAGAGGGGACATCTACAGACCATTTTGTAGTGGAAAAAATATACAACCTGTGTATACAAAATAGTATAAATATACAGCTACTTTCTCTTAGTTCAATGAGAAGGTTTTGAACTAATAGTGTTTAGACAAGATATCATGTCTGCATCTTGTACTAGGAACATCTACTACAGAGACAATATGCGATGTATTAATTATGTAACTGTACTACTAACCTGTTCTGAAACTTCTCATTGCTACTTCTTTCTCAATAAAATTATTAAAATATAAAAAATTAAAAAATAAAATCTAGGCTATGCAAAGAACTCAAAAAAACACACCAAAGCTGAAATAGCTTAATCAAGAAATGAGCAAATGAATACCTCAAATGGAGTGCAAATGATCACTAAGTATATAGTTATTCTACTGAGCCATCTCCCCAGCCCCTAAGTATATAGTTTTAAAAAATGTTCAACACTTTTAATCATTAAGAAAATGATAATCAAAACTACATTGAGATTCCATTTTAATCCAGACAAAATGGCTATTATCAAGAATACAAAAAATGTGGTTATGATGCAGGGGTCATGTAGAGGTAAACTTCTACACTGTTTTGGGAATTAAATTGGTTCAGTTACTATGAACCAAATTAATATGGAGCTTTCCCAAATGAAAACTAAAATTAGATCTACCATTTGATCCAGCTATACGACTCTTCACTATAAATGCAGAACACTTAAAGTCAGTTGCAGGGATATCTGCAAACTCACATTTATTGTGGTGCAATCATAAATACCAAGAAGGATAACCAGCCTAGATGCCTATCAATGCTTGAATGGAGGAAACGTAATGTATAAACATAATGGAACATTATTCAGCCTTAAGCAAAAATGAAATTTTATTTTCAGGAAAATGGATAGATCTAGAGGTCATCATATTCAGCAAAAAAGTCACCCAAAAACACAAATATTGCATGTTCTCCACAATAAGTGGGACCTAAAACAGAGGAGAAAAAGCAGGACAGCAATCATTGTTAGATAAGTGTAAGGAAATAAGGAGGAGGGAAGGTGCAGTGGCAAGTCATGAGGGAATGGATGTGATCCAAATGTGTTAAATGTATTGAAACTCAAACAAACAAACAAAAAAATCATGAAACTAGGGGGAGGGCAAGGCAAGAGTGGATGGATGTCAAAAATGGTTAAGCTATGTTATGTACACAGGCAATCTGCCAAGTGAAGCCTATTAGTCTGTAAATCTAGTATGCACTCATGGAAAAAATGTCAAGAAAATAAAACTTACTTATCCTTTCAGAAAAAAAAAGATCAAAAAAAAAAAAAAGAATCCATTAACAGTTGTTCTGGGGGCTTACCGGTTATCTCAGTTGTTTAAGTGCCTGCTTGGGCAAATCCAGTCAGGCTTGCAGAACCGCCCTTCCGTTCCCAGCTCCATATGCCACACCATGCCTGGACTTAAAGTAGCCTGAGACAGCCAAAAAATTTTTTTAAAAAAATCCTTGTCAACTTTTGGGCCAGCCAAATAGCTCAGAGGATTAAAGTGCCTGCAAGCAGGCGCAGGGCTTGGAGATTCGATCCCCCGGGCTTGCCGTGCTGGCTCCACCCCCCCACCCCCAGGCACGCTGAGATAGCAATTGAGACTGGACGTGGGGGAGCACGCCTGCAATCTCCGCTCTTCGGAAACTGTAAACAGGCAGATCACTATGAGTCTGATCTAGTAGTAAGACCCTGAACACCCTGTAGATCCTTCCCTAAAATACAGGGGAAAAAAATTGTTCTTAGAGAATTTCAGTTGACACTGAAAACTGCTCATAATTCAATGTAAAATTAGTACAAAGTATTAAGTTAAAGAAAAATAGACAATGGATTTATATTAAGCTTCATAAACAAATAATGAACTAAGAAATTGTGTTTTTCTTATAGGACTGGGACTATGTAATGCAATTAAAGCTTAGTAACATTTATATAAAAGACATACCAAGAATCATCAAAAGTGATATCTACGAAGAACATGTAACCTATGTTTTCCTCATACATGGATCAGTGGAAGATTGTCACCTACGGAAACTGTACCATGCACCTTTCTTAATTCCTGCAACATGCCATCAGGTAAAAAAAAAAAAAAAAAGATCCAAGTGTTTGAGTCAATCTGCTTTATGTCCAATAACGTACAGGCAACAGAAAACTTGCCGTGCTAACCAGGCTTTCCCCCTGTCTCCTCTTCCCACCTCATCTTCACACAGACCCGCATGCACACTGGTTGCCTAAGCACAAGTTGTTTACATTCAGTGCCAGAGAAATAGACCAAGCTGTACATTTTGACCACAGTGAGATTTTGGTGAAATTGTACACAGCAAAGGAGGAGCTATTTACCCATATCTTGCAGAAAGACTTTTATCAACAGTACCCTAGATAAATTCTGCCAGGCTCTGACAAATTAAATATTACTCATTTCCCTCAGGTATTTTGAAAGAGATATAAGAGGTTACATTCATTTTCATAGTTAAACTGTTAAGTGACTTCCCTTACCTGAGAACCTGAGCTATGTGCAAATAAAAATTGTACGTGTGTAAGGATGTGTGTGAACAGGTGTGATTGATGGAGATTAAGAGGTCCTTGTGAAGCCAAATCAGAAGGTACATACAATACAGCTGCATGAAGAGGGACCTAGAATCAGTTAAATTAGGCTCAAATACATTTAAATATATTTTAAAACAATATATAGCACAAATTGTGCTAGCTCTTGAAGTGACAAAGACAAATGAGATGTTCAAGTTGCCCTCAAGAGATTTCTAGACTAAGCAGAAAGAAGCAGATACATAAATATATTAATAAATGTTCACTGGAGGTACTTACAGTAGATGGAGGGTACAAGGGGAAAAAGCTAGGTGGAATATAGCTTCTCTTCCTCCACACAGCAACAAGACTTCCTCTCCCTGCACCCATCTTCTGTGACAACCATGCAGTTTGTGTTGCGTTTTAATCATCAGGAAAATCTTTAACTGTATGGCCAACCATCAGATAGAAAATGGCCAAAGACAATTATGGGAGAATTGGTTCAAACCATTTTAGCAAAGAAACATAAAATGTATACTTTCTTTGAGTGGTGAGATCTACAATTGTTTGCAAAAGACGTGTCAGTCTGCATTGTTGCTGTGCTACTGAGAATCAGGACAATAAGTTATGATCTTCCAAAGAATTCATTGTCAAGTAGATTACTTGACAAGTATTTTGTCAATGTATGTGAACTTGATTATCCTTAATTTTGAAGTTTTATGTTTTGGGTGAGCTTCTTTTGAGAGTAAGTAGAAATATCCAAGAAAAATGTCCTCATACCAACTGAGGACAGGCTTATCTACTGCAGAAGCTGTGTCATGAATTTCCCCAAGTGCTAAATAGTCATCAAATATGTAGAAACAGAGAGATGATATATGCAAAAGAAAATATCCTCAGTTTGGTGGAAGATTATCCAGTGAAACAATAATGCAACATTTTTGAGCCAGAATTTTTATGACTTTATTTATTTCCTGTTCACATTTCTCTTTCCTGTTTTACTTCCATTCTATATTTGGTCTTGGTATAGCTTATTCCTGTTTACTACTGATTTAACTTCTTAGCAGAAATGCCCTTGTAAGTGTTTTGGATAAAGCTGCATCCTAAACACTTGCATGTTATAAGTACCAAACCATGTGTGATTAATCTTATAAAAGTAAAATATGGCAATTGTTAATGTTCACACACACACACACACACACACACACACA